TTGCTTTGATTAAAATGGGCCAACATTTTCCTGACAGTGACCTAGTTCACCTTGCGGTCTATAAATTATTTACATGAATGTGCAGCGAGCAAAAAGTGACGCAGACTTCTGGAGCTTTGACAGTAGTTTAATTCAGAAAAGAAATTATAAGCAAATAATTTTTTTTTTCTTTTTTTAAACATCGTGGATGTTATTTTTCTTTTTTTTACTTAAGCCACAAAGTTCCAGGATTTTTCCATATCAGCAAGACTTTTATGATTTCAGTCATTCTTGTTAACAATGGCTGCCTGATCCTCTGGCACGTGAAAAAGAGTGTAACCACATTTCCAAAATTAGCGTTCTCACTGGAGGTCCTCACCAACCAACTTCACACAAAAGACTTCCACATCTGAGTTTTGGTCAAAAGTCCAAACTAAGTGCAGTGTAGAATCTTTACAGGGAGATATTGGGAAAAAGAGAGGCTGGTTTGATAACTTTGGTTTTAAAAAAAAATGGTGAAAACCAGGAAGAAACTGAACTGAGCTGAACTGTTTTAAATAGTTCTACCTCACTGAGCTGTGAATATTTAGGTATGAAAACATACCAACCAGTTTCATTTATTTTCTAAACTAACTACAGAAACACACCTGGTGTGTAGTGGTTAATTGATTGGGTTTCTGATGGGTTTGAATCCCGTCCCGTCACAGCTGTGATGTGTTGAGCAGGTACCAAAGTATTGGAAATACTTGAAAAGAACAAAATTGAACTTCCATTTGTCTCATATTTTTTTTATCTTCCACTGTTTTTCTCTGTCTTTCTGAAATGGAAACACACTTTTTTTTTCCAGCCCACTGCTCCTCACTTACTGACTTTTTCCCCCGTTCTTCTTCTCCAGCGTGCAGTCATCTTTCCGTATCATGGACATGTGCCACGGCGGCCACACCAATGCAGTCTTTGACGCCCTCAACCAGAACACCATTCACTTCTCCAGAGCCCCTCTGGCCCCCACTGCCTCCTCGGGCCTCCCTCTGGGCTACGGCAACATACCAGTCCACACTCAGGTCAGGAGCTGGAGCTGAAGGACACGTACAGCTGAAAAACACAGCCTGTTCTTGTTCTCTTTTTACTGTTATTGATGCCGTTGAGCCAATGAAATGTCAGCACACGTGTCTGTGGTTAAAGTATTTCCTGTGTTTAATGTCATGAAACTGCAGCACACGTTGTCTCTGTTGTTCCTCTCAGGGGAGAGAACTTAATGTATGTGTAGCCCGTGGTTACATAATGTTTCTGTAAAATGTTTCCATACATTGGAAGATGAGTAACACCACCCTCTACTGGAGAATATGTGTTATAACAGAGGCTATGGTTGTCATTGAATTTTCCACTTTTTTTCCTCTTTTGTCCACTTTCCTAAATCTTCCGTGTCTTGTCTGTTTTTCTATCCACTCCTTTCTTACTTTTTTGTTTTTGTTTTTTTGTTTTTTAAACACAGGCTCTAACTCAGTCTGCCTCCTCGGTGTTGCATCCAGCCTTAGCTCTGACAACTGGCAGCGGACAGTTTGGGTGCAGTGACTCATTCCCACCTGCCCTCCTCCTTTGTCCTCCCACCATGCAAGGTCAGACTGCATTAAATATGTATTTCAGGTTCAGGTTTCCAGTCGCATCATCAGGTCTGATTAAAGGCTGATTTTCATACATGTCAAATTTGAAGGTTTACATGAATTTTTATTAACTATTTTTTTCCTTCTTTAGTCTTAAATCTGAAACAGCTTTTTGCATCTAGATTATTGAAATATATAATTGATCTAAATGATCTGCTGATGCGTCTGATTGCACAAAGGTTAGAGACACTTAAACAAAAACAAAAATCAGAAACCACACTGGGTCAGTTGCTCGTTTCTACGCAGCCTCAATTGTTAATGATCCGTGTCACGGACGTGGCCTTTTTCTTCTGACACGTTGTTTTATGCTTCTCATTTAAAGGTAACCTTAATCAACCAGCAGGGTATTCCGTTCCCATGGTAACTCAGGCCCCTCCCATACAGCCTCTGCCAGTTAGGCCTGGTGTCATAGCTCAAGTAAGTATTGACTTCATCAACACCAGCAGTTTTTTTAGTAAAAAAAACAATATGATCTGTGACTTAAAAACTGTAAAAAAAAAAAAAACCTTTGAAGGTTTTTTTCTGTGGTGACTCCAGAAAAGGACAAACCTGAACGTGAACCTAAACCTTTTTCTTCCCTGGTTCCAACAGCAGGCCTGGTCCGGCCGAGGGCAACAGCTCCTCGTCCCAGCTGCCTGGCAACAGATGACTCCAGTTGGTCCTCCACCCTCTCACCCTCCTCCACCTCCCCCACCATCCTTAGCCAGCGACACCACAACTGGCCCGCAAAGGATCAGTGACTGGGGGTGAGTCACTGAACTCTGAGTCACACTCTCTACGTCTGGGAAATTCTGTGTCATTAGAATTGGATGTTGAAATGAATCTCTCGGCTCCTAGAGAAAAAGAAATGATGAAGCTAAAAAAAAGAGTTATTAGGCTGAGACTGCACTTTTATCTCATGCCCCCATGTGCTTTTTGTTAAAAAAAAATCTTTTACAGAAAATTACATCCTCACAGCAACCATTACAGCTCTGTCATCCAGCACTCCCTCCTGACCAATCAGATGCAGGGCTTGTCCGCTCCTCAGCCAATCAACATTGGAGTAGCTCATGTCGTATGGCCCCAACCGACCAATAAGCGAAATAGACACAGTCACAACAGGTGAGCTTCTCCAACGACTTAAAAAAAAAAGTTTCACTGTGATTTAGTTCAAGTCTAACACTGAAAACTGTCACAACAGGAACGTGTCTCACTCTGGCAACATGCGATCATCGCTGTGTCGTACTCCAAACATGGCTGCCGTGGTCGGACAGACCGTTCAGGGGAGAGAGCCGCCTCAGAGGGACGTGCCTCTGTTGGACACCAGACCTGTGGAGGTCGAGGAGGAAGAGGAGAACGCTGAAGAGGAAGTGAGCTGTTACAAAGAGGTGGTGCCTCAAGATAAGGTACAGCTGGACCTGTCCTCTCAGCAGCAGCGAGACGTTGCCGTCCTCATGGGCGACACACCGAGCCCTGCTCCCAGTGTGGTCAGCATTCGTAGTGAACTGACCGACGATGAGGAGGAAGACCCTCAGAAGTGCCGTCTGACTGAGTGAGTAGCTTTTTTTTTTCTTTTTTCTCCCTTGAACAGTTGAGGCATCACTGGCTCGCCTCTCGTTCTTACTGATTCGTTCAGATGCAGAGTGATGCAGTTTTTAACCACTAGGTGGTGTTTAAATGTCCTGTCTAACCTGCGTTGCTCTTTCCACAGGTGTAAAGCGGAGTGTGAGTGTGAGGCGTGCAGAAACACCAGTGTGTCCATGGAGAGGGTGTGTTCTCTCAGCAGCCCTGACAGCAGCCTCAGCACCAACTCGTACGCCTCCAACTCACTCCACTCCAGCCCTTCTGCCTCACCGTGCAAGAGGCCCAACAGGTGGGTGGTCACACGTGGACGGGTGTCCAGACAACACAGAGGTCACTCTCCAGTCTTCACTCATGTTAATGTCGGGTTGTTGTTTTTTTCTGCCTCTGCTGCAGCATGTCTGAGGACGACAGCCACGAGAGCGGTTGTGACACAGTGGAAGGTTCGCCCACTGACACCTCAGCCTCACTGCGCGGCAACGGACATTATCGTTTCCTTGACAACGGCAATCACAACCACCGCCCACCTTTGGCTTCGGTGGTGGCAGCGCTGCCTCCCCCTGCGGTGCAGGGCAGGAGTCCCCGTGGCGTCAGGACAATGGTGGTTCCACCAATGAGGGCCCAGAACAACAACAACAGTCAGGTGACGGAGGAGCGTGTCCAGAGAACAGGTCAGTGTGGTCACGTGTTCACTGATATCAGTGTTGTTGAGCCTTTTGTCTGCTTTACTAACAAACTAACAAGTGAAGTATATATTTTTTGACACGTAGCTGAGGACTGTCTCTTTTTATTTTTAAACTTAAATTTAAACTAATGCTGAAACCTGTTTAAGTAAAATACAGATTTCCATCTTTTAAAGAACCCAGTAACAGTATGTTGTTTTCCTGCTAAAGCTAACAAGCTCAAGACAAACAAACACGAATATTCACATTTCATTATTTTGAAACTTATATTTGAAAAAAGCACAGCCCATTTGTGCTTGTGATTCGTACCAAAGTGTAACGAGGGTTGACTAGACATAATGTATATATTTTTTTTCTTTTGCCATAACAAGTGCTTTCACTGCCATTTGTCCCCTGTGTTTTGCTGGTGTCTGCCCTGCAGGTCATAGGGAGGCAGTAAGGTCCACTAACTGCCCACTAATGGGTCATAGAGCCTATAACAGGTGACCGGGATCAGATCAGTAGAGACGCGGCCGCTGTGGTCTAAAACCTCACAGATGCATCCACAACAGGCAGTGCTAACATTTCCTGTGGTTCTTCTTTTCACAACTTTCCCTCCGTCAAGATAAAAAAAAATGTATTTCAAGAAATTGTATTTCAAGGCCAATTGGAGCTGGTTGTTATCCTCGCAGTATAAAAATAACTAAATCCTCACTTTCTTTTTAATCCATTAAAAAAGTATTTCTTTTTTTTTTTTTTTTTTTTGGTTTTCCTTGAAGGTCTAAAACTAAACAATTTTATTTCTGGGGGGAAAGCTGGATGCATTTGATTTGGTGTGAGGTCAGAGGCTGAGTTTTCTCTACTGGTTCTTGACATGTAAGAAAAAAGAAAAGTTGCTCTGGGCCACTGATCTGTTCTCAAACCCACTCATCTGAGCTGATGTTCCTGTCAGCCGATTCAGAACGGCTGCAGATCAGAGACCAAGATCAACTTTCCTCTTTTCCAGGTGCCCTCTCTGAGTGCCAAATACCTTCTGTCCTCTTCAAAAAAAAAAACACATTTTCAAACTCCATTATTGGCTCTTTTCTTAACTCGTTTCTTGAAGAGAAGATTTTATCCAGTTCTGAAGTAGAGGACACATTTATTACTGTGATAAACAGCGTCTTGACAAAGTGTTTTATTGTCTGTCTCCTGCAGAAGATTGAAACAGGTGGTTTTTAAATGATTCTCAGGTGTTTTCTCCCAAAGAAAACTTTCAAATATATAGAGTAGAAAAAAACAAAACACCCGGCCTGTAAATGTACATTATCTGTATTCACCTCAACATTTGAACATATTAAATCACCGTAAACACAAGTGTCACACGTGGCAACTGACGAAGCTGAAAGACAGAAACATAAAACGTTAGGAGTTAGTGACATAATGAAGGACTGTAGTGGAGGAAAAGTGAAAGTAAAAATAAATTATATATATAAATAAATAAATGCTCCACAAAGAACCCGTAGGAGGTCTGTGACATCACTGATCTCCTCCAGAGGGTTGTCTGTCAGTCTGTTGGCTCGGTGCATGTTTGTTTGTGGTTTGAAGTCTCTCTCTCCCTCTCTCCCCCCCCCCTCCCTGTTTTCCTTGGACTCGGTCTTCCAGCTCTGTGTTCTGTTGTTTAGTAAACATCTCCAGCGCTGACTCACGTCATTCTTCTCCTTCTGCAGCCTCAGAGTCCTGGTCCCGGTCCAAAGGGCGGTGCAGTCTCGCAGGCCAACACAGCAGTCCCTCTTCTATCCCCCTCCTCCCGTCCGCCCCCTTCCTGCCCCGACAGCAGAAGTCCACAGGGCAGCGCCTGCCCCCTCTGGCTTTTGGACAGGTCAGTGTTTCAGTCTTTCCTGGACGTGATCTTCAAACATGAATTTGTTTTTCTTTGGTTGATTGAAGTCATCGATGTGTTTCTTTTCCCGTCGTCCGTCAGGTGCAGCCGTACGGCTCCAACCTCAGCAACAAAGAGTGGAACGGCAACTATGGGCCGCTGCGACCTCACGCCTACATTCCCCCTACTGTCCACACCCACACCTTCACTCACCTGCCCCACGGCAGCCCCACCCACACCTCGGCTGGCCCGCACACGCAGGGCATCCCCA